GGAACCCTGCTTCCACTGCAGGGGGGCGCATCCCTGGTGCAGAACTGAGATTCCCTACTTGCCGTGCTGTGCGGCCAGGAAAAAAAAAAAAGGATTATTATTCCACAGATGGAGGATTACTGTTGAATGCTTGGCCAGGTGAGGCCAGTTGAGGTTCTTTGGTCTTCATCTTGCCTGGAAGGAGAGTGCTTCTTATCTAATATGCACAGACACCATATGAAAAAACAAAGTGCTGCACAGAGATGCATGCCTTTATAAAATATGCCAAGATAAACTTTCCTTTCCATTGGGTAGCTAATGGAGAAGTTAATTCCATTAATTAACATTAGGTAGGGCTTCCCTATAGTAGCTCAGCTGGTAAAGAATCCACCTTCAATGCAGGAGACCCCGGTTCGATTCCTGGGTCGGGAAGATCCTCTGGAGACGGGATAGGCTCCCCACTCCCAATATTCTTGGGCTTTCCTGGTGACTCAGACAATAAAGAACCCACCTGCAGTGCGGGAGACCAGGCTTTAGATCCCCGGGTTGGGGAGATCCCCAGGAGGAGAGCCTGGCAACCCACTCCAGTACTCCTTCCTGGAGAGTCTCATGGACAGAGGAGCCTGGCGGGCTGTAGTCTGTGGGGTCACAAAGAATCAGACACAACTGAGTGACTGAACAACAACAAAAAATAGCTGATTTACAATATTACATTTCCTTTTACCTTGTTTCTAGAAAGAGATAGTTGCTTGCAGTATTATGAGAAAAACACAGCTCGTGTCTTTCTATAGTGTTCCTCTTCTTCAGTCACCCACCTTGCCTCTGAACAGAATAATTGCTGCTGATCTTCTTGTCCACAGTGTGAAAGTTTGGTTTTGCCTATTATTCTGTTTTTCTAGCCCACTCCTATTTTATGCTCTGCCCTAAAGAGTGGATATATGTTTAAGTGTAACCGATTTACTTTGCTGTACGGCAGAAAGTTAACAACATTGTAAATCAACTGTACTCCAGTAAAAATTATTTAAAATATAAAAATGAAGATAGAAATAGAAAAAAAAATCAAATAGAGGTTATGCAAATTGTTAGGATTTGTGATACTTTGACCATTCATGTACCTCCAACCATTCAAAGAAAAAATGTTTATAATTATCTTTGAAATACTCTGTATGCCTTTCCTCACCCCATCTACTTCCCTCTCCCATCAAAGGTAGTAATTATCCTTGTGCTTATCTTTTTCTTTTTAGCTTTAGTGCATATTTATTCCTAAGCAATATATTGAAACTATGTAGATGGAAACTATTACATAAGAGAGAGTATGTATATCCTTCTGCTACTTGCTTTTTATAAGAATACGTCAGGGTTTTTTTTAGCCATTCTACTGTTTGTGGACACTTTAGCTGTTATTTTGCTATTATGCATAGAACTACCATGAATATTTTTTTCATGTTTTTAAATAAACATGTAATTTTCCCTAGGGTAATTACCTAAGAATGGAATTACTGAGTTATAGGAAACGCACATTCTCAGCTTTATTAGATAATGCCCAAAATGGTGATACTAATTTATGTTCCTGTCATTAGGGTATAAGAATTCAAGTTACTCTATGTTCTCTGATATATATTTAATATATCAAAATGGTACATGTTTTATGGGGAGGAAAAGTAAAGAAGGAGAGGGAATATTGTCTTACTGTGCTCAGAGCCATAGCAGATTAGAGACTAAGGGGATGAAGTATAATCAGAAAGCTCTGGGCTCCATGTGGTGATTGACATGAACAGAGGTACAGGTTTGATGGGATTGGTTTGTCCTCATATTTTCAAGCAGATAATGGTAGTGAAATTGTGAGGGCGAGAAGGTTTGAGAATCTTTCCAGGAGTATTTTGGGGAAGGCCTCTTCACTGTTTGGTGATAAGGCTGGGAATGAGTTAGGAGGCTGGTAATATGTGATCTTGTTCTGATCATTTAGTGCTTTGGAGACCCCTTTTGACTCCCCTCTTACCTGTAGTGGTTTGGAGGACCAGGGGAGGGTCGGTTTTGTCTGGAACATACGGAACACTAGAGTTCTCTTGGTTCAAGAATACTTGGAGCTCTCAGTTCAGTTCAGTCGCTCAGTCGTGTCTGACTCTTTGTGATCCCATGGACTGCAGCACTCTAGGCCTCCCTATCCATCACAACTCCTAGAGTTTACTCAAACTCGTGTCCGTTGAGTCAGCGATGCCATCCAGCCATATCATCCTGTGTCGTCCCCTTCTCCTCCTGCCTTCCATCTTTCCCAGTATCAGGGTCTTTTCAGATGAGTCAGTTCTTCTCGTTGGGGGGCCAAAGTATTGGAGTTTAGCTTCAGCTAAACTTCCAATGAATATTCAGGACTGATTTCCTTTAAAATGGACTGGTTGGATCTCCATGCAGTCCAGGGGACTCTCAAGAGTCTTCTCCAACACCACAGTTCAAAAGTACCAATTCTTCAGTGCTCAGCTTGCTTTATAATCCAACTCTCACATCCATACATGACTACTGGAAAAACCATAGCTTTGACTAAACGGACCTTTCTTGGTAAAGTAACGTCTCTGCTTTTTAATATGCTGTCTAGGTTGGCCATAACTTTTCTTTCAAGGAGTAAGCGTCTTTTAATTTCATGGCTTCAGTTACTATCTGCGGTGATTTTGGAGCCCAGAAAAATAAAGTCTCTCACTGTTTTCATTGTTTCCCCATCTGTTTGCCATAAAGTGATGGGACCGGAGGCCATGATCTTAGTTTTCTGAATGTTGAGTTTTAAGCCAACTTTTTCACTCTCCTCTTTCACTATCATCAAGAGGCTCTGTAGTTCTTCGCTTTCTGCCATAGGGGTGGTGTCATCTGTATATCTGAGGTTATTGATATTTCTGCTGGCAGTCTTGATTCCAGCTTGTGCTTCATCCAGCCCAGCGTTTCTCTTGAAGTACTCTGCATATAAGTTAAGCAGTTAATATATAATATAAGCACTTGGAGCTCCAGTGCTTTCTTAACTCTTGAAGTTGGAGAAATGAAGGTTGGGAGGAGGGTGGATCTGTCCTGAGCATTTGGAGCTTTACGGCTCCTTCTTGACTCTGCTGTCAGAGATGTGGCGTCATGGGGGAGGGGAAGTCTTGCTGAGGGTATATAGAGCCCACATTGTCAAACTTGTTAATTTTTGCCAGTCTGGTGGAAATGAAATATGGTATCTTGTGGTTTTAATTGAGTTTCCCCTTTTTACTCTAAAAATTCCAAAATTCTATATCCTTTAAACATCAAACTTAGTCATATAACTACCACTAACTAACTTCTGTGTTAAACCCCACAATTGTGTGGGTTTTATTCATCATCTCTTTCATGTACCCTGGATTTCCTGATTCAGCAAGTGAAACTTCTACTGTAGTGGCTCCTGACATTAGACCCACAGGGAAATCTGCTGTACCCTGTGTTGCCACCACAAAGGTCAGAAATCCTATTTTGTGTTCATTCTTGCGTGAGGGGCTGGATTGATAGCCTTCACACATTGTCACCTAACCTCATAAAACACATCAGTGTATCGACACTGATTCTATCTCACCCCATCTAGAGTCCCCACCAAAATATTCACTCCATGTTGCAGCCCTGTCAGAGGTGGCTCTTCAGTTATCTTTTAAAGTTTTCATTTTAAAATCTAAGAATCACAGCTACTATTGATAGTCTGTAAGGAAAATGATTTGGCTGATCACAGCTAAGGATATAACTGCCTCTGCTTTTCAGGCTATATCTTTATACAGTTTTAACCCTGTATAAATGGGACACCCATCTTCCCCAGTGTTCCTTAGTGCTTTCACAGAATCAGGCCTCAGAATTCACAAAAGAGTTGCTGGAGAAAGGCAGGCTATATGTTGTATTCTGATGGTCTGTAGCGTACTCTAGGTGGCTCTGTAGTTGTTCAGTACATCTTATTCTACCCCACCTTGTTTACTTGCTACATTTAAATGTCATGAAGGAGTACAAAGATGGTGAAAGTGCCTGTAAATCCCAACTGATTTACTATATATGTCCCAAGAATAGTTCAGGACTTTGCCTTAATTGGCTTAAATGCGTATAAGCCTATAAAGACGGATGTGGGCAGTGAGGCATGTCCCTTGTGGTTTCTTTTCCAGCCTTCAAAAGGATTTCATCCAACTTTCTATGGATAGTTATTAAGAATATTATCTAATAATTTTGTAAGGTTTTCCTTGCATTGAAGTCTGTTTTAGAAGGCTGTAACCATTTTTAACATTATCCCACCCATTATGGTAATACTATATATGGCACCCATTTCATGGAAGACAGATAAAAGAAATCTCAAAGTTTTACCATGTATATGATTATACAGACTGTAGTATTCCCAAAGTGCAAAAGGAGTAGGAAAAATAAATACATAGTCCTAAAAAATAAATGAGACTAGTACAAATCTTAAATGAACCAAAATCTTCCCTGTTGCCCAGTTGAGCATAAGAATAATTCCCAACAGATAAGTTGGTTTGAATCCATATAAAGTTGTCATGGGGAATCCCATGAGACAATTCTTTTGCACCTTGACTGACCCAAATGATTTCCAAATGCATGTTTCTAATGATATTGTGAGCAACTCAAAGCCCATATGAGTTGTCTGAAGTTTTATTATTTACAGGTATGTGAAGCATTCCCAGAACCGTTCAACCAACTCAACAGCAGCTACTTCCCTGTGACTGGATCCTGATTAAGGTCCTCCCAAGAAAGACTTCATTGGATCCACGCTCAAGAGGACACTGCCAAGTTTTCCTGACCCCTCTACATCACTATAAAGCGCTAAGGCCTTAAGACTTGGTTACTTGTATTACAACGGCAAGAGTGCCAGCACCCACCAAAGACTCATTGGACTGTCAGCTTCTGTTTCACCAAACAGACATAATAACTTACCAGCAAAGCAGAGTAAGCCAAGTGCCTCTGCACATACCACCAGCTGATAACACACAAGAAAAAGTAACTTAGACTAGAACCCTGTCTTTTCTTAAGAAGCTGAGATTTAAAGGAGCTCTTGTGACATCTGTGCTGCTAGTAGTGACTGATAACATAGACTGGATCAGTCCCTGAGTTTGGAGACTGGCTACAAGTGAGTGAAAAATAGACAAAGAAATCTTGAAGAATTGCACGGAGGTGCAAGCCAAATTTTATCCTCTCCAAGTAATGGTGGTTGGACTGAGAAAGTGCTAAACCAAAACTGTAATAGGTCTGGTTACTTGGGTGTCTCTCTGTATTATCATTGTTGCCTCTTACTGTTACATTTGCCGTCTGTGTTGTCTCTCCAGATCCCAATGTTTTCAGATAATTCACATTGCCCTGACTGTGGGCAGCAGTGGTTCCCTAGTTTAGAACTAGGCCATTGGTTGTACCAAACTGAACTGGTTGAGAATGAATGTTACCAAGTCTTCTTAGACCGTATTAACAGAGCTGATTATTGCCCTGAGTGTTACCCTGATAATCCTGCTAATAGAAGCCTTGTTCTTCCTTGGTCTTTCCCACTTGAGTGGGCTCCTCAAAATCTTACCAGGTGGACCTTTGAAAAAGCTTGCCACCCATTTCTTCTGGGTCCTCCACTGGTTAGAAAAAGAATACATGACTCTAGAGTTGCTGGTTTTAACCCTGCATTACAGTTAATCCTGACAAGGACAGACAAAACCTTAAACAAAAAACTTGGCCAAAGCAAGTAACTTCTTTAAACAGTCAAGATCATGGAGACTCTAGAGGGTTTTGTACTAGTAGCCCAAGGAAGATGGAAAAATGACTCCTTTCTAAATCTGATCCAGACTGTCACTGCTTTGGGAAACTGCTTAAATTGTTGGATCTGCTTCCAGGGTCTATGCATCTCTTGTTCAGCATGAATTTAATTATTAGTCCAAGCCAGACTGTTCCTCTGGAACCTGACTAATCCATATTTCCTATGTTTTGGAATTAGCTTGCTCCTCCTAAAAATCTCCACAGCCTAATCATTGACGTTATTATGACAAGGTAGTCCTGGAGGAGAAGCCTTATACTGTGTGTACTTTAATTCTAGTAATAACTTTTGTGGGAAAGCATCCTTGTAGCTGAATTCTAGATTATTCCAGTAAAACAATTAGACATTTAATAAGAATCTATATTCTCAATTCCACCTCTTATATATTAATCAGTGATAATTATATATATATAAGATTTATTCATATCTAACCAAATATTCATCATTGGCTCTATTTGGTTTATTCTCAGTGTGGCTTTGACCTTCCTTATTAACTGGTCACTGTCAGAGAAGCAGTGACCAGCAGCACTGTCAATCAGGCAGTACCTGTATAGGTTACAGAATAATATCCAGAAATGCCACTATCTAGTTACTTGGCTCTACATAAGCAAAGACTATCCTGTCTTTGTGGTGACTGAACTTAGAATGTCCTCCTCTGGAAATGGAAAAGTACCTGTATTAGGAGCTAGGTGACAGAAGGAGTTATCAAACTTGACTCCATATAGATTATGAACAGTTTAGGGGAAGCATTTTTCTTAGAACTAAAAAGGACTTACCTGACATTGGCCTCATTCTGGCCTTCACTTGTTCATAAGAATCATGGAACCAGAGTTTGAGTTAAGAAACTTGGAAAAAGCAGCTGAAAACATCTGAGTCCACTTAACAATTTAAAAATTCCATTGAAGATGCTAAATAATCCATTGCTTATGTAGCAACTCAACAATGGTCTCAAGGTCCCAGGTTCTTTCTGTCTTTCCCCTCTGGGATCCTTATTGTATTGCCTTTTTGTCCTCATAGTTGTTTTCTCAGTGAGTACAATGTAGCTTGTTGCTGCTCTAGACATTTCAATCTCTCTCAGACTGGAAGTAGGGAGCAAAAACTTTGTTCTTTCAAGTCTCTATTTTTTATTTGGGAAGAAAATCTCTCTCTCAAAAGTCCCTCAGATTTTTCCTTGCATTAATTACACCAGGGATTTTCCCTTACATCCTTGATTCAGAAGGGGGCCTGGGAAACCTGACAGAGGGGAATGGAGTTGACATTGCCTGGGTAGGACACGTTGTCTCCCCTAATAAAATCAGGGCTCTTTGAGGAAGAAGTGAGGGATGAATGGCTGTTGGTATGCAGCAAATCATGCCTGCCACATGTTGTTTAAAGTCATTTGTTAGTCTGTATAAAGAATGTACCCCAGAGATCTACCCTGTATCTGCCTTATGTCTGTCATGATTGACGTTCTCTTCTGTTCTATTGCTGAATAAATTGTGTGTGGACTGCTATACTGAGTGAAGACTAATTAGTTTATTAATCAATCCTTGTTTAAGAACTACACTATCCTAAAGCTTTATCTAAAAAGTGAAAATTTACTTTGAGGTATTGCTTTTGAGGATGGTATTATAGTCAATATTACTGTCTCCTAAACTTTCTCAGACATACACCAAAAAACACTACTTATGTTCACTTCAGGAGAATAGAGAAAGTTTCTTTTGTTTTTAACCAATCTCATTCTTAAATAGTAGGACATTAAATGGATTTATACAGTTGAGTTTCAAGTCAGTGCCTGGGTGAGCTTGTCAAAAATGCAAATTTCCTGATCTTACAGAAATTTTGATTTCCAAGGTTTCTTATGGGGCCCAGGAATCTACATTTTATAAATAGTGCCTCAGAAGATTCTTATGCAGATGCTCTATGAACCGTACCTTGAAAAATACCATAGCAGCATATCCATCATATTTAGTTACCTAGCTTAAAAGACTAGGAACCAAGAGTACTCATAACACTGTAAGATGGTGGTAGTTATTGTACTTTGCCAGTGACATATAAAGAGGTTTCATAGCAGCCTGAAGGACTCTGCTGATATTTCAGGTCATAACTCAGTCACATTTTTCTCAACTGTTTGTGGGGAGGGCTCTATTGCAGCCCTTAAAGAGTCCTGTTTATAAACTTTGTGAGTATATGGGCAAGAGAAAGGAATCAAAAATGCTAATTTTAATACTACATTAAGAAGGGTACTTTGCCTTCATACATGATTATTACCACATGAGAGCTGATATGGTCAGCTCTCAGAAATAACATCATGTGGTAGAGGTCATAAAATGGAGCAGGGGAGAAAATTTAGAAAACTGCATAGCTTTTCAACTTAGGTCTTTAGTAGGATTTCACTGGGTTTAAAACATTGCACATTATTCTAAAATACTCATTCATGGTTATGAATAATGAATTTGAAAGTATAAGTGTATTCCTAAAATTAATTCTTAACACAGATGATCCACTGTTTTGGATGATGTGAGCCATATTAAGCTCCACTTCCATCCTCTGGGAGAGTTGATAATATTACTTATATGTAATGGTGGCCATTTCTAAAATGACTTCCAGAAATACTTTCTTTTACTTTAATGCAGACCTAGGAGTAGAAATTTAATGGAAAGTATCTACTAAAGAGAAGGCTGTCTTGGATTGTGGGTGATTGAGTTAAGATTCATCTCTTAAGTTGTAGGAGGACATAGTCCAGGCAAGCACACATGCAAGAAAGAATTCCATGACATCCAAAGACTAGGTGGCAGTCATAATACACGTGTCTGTAAAAGTGAGTTGAGAGCCATACCCCTCTGGAGTCTCCCCTGGCAGCCCTTGAGTCTCAATGCAGTCTTCAGAACACAGCTTGGAAACTGCTTGTTATAGAGGAAAAATAATGGCCTTGCAGCCAGCTGACCTCAGTTTGTCTTCTAATTCTGACATTATTAAATGAGCTTGGGCATTTTAACCTTTCTCTGTCCAGTTTCATTTATGAAATAAGTTTTGTAATAATACCTTCTTCATACTGTTGTGAAGTTTAAATGTGATACATGTCTATCAGTCAGCACCACAGTAAATCTTTAGGATGAGGAGAGGTATAAGAGAATGAGGCAAAAGTTAGAACTAGGGATAAGATAGAGTCTCAGTTTTAGAATAAGGATTAAGGCCAACTGTTAGAACTTGATGCTGAATTATCAAAAATTTCTTAAGTCTTTTCTGATGAAGGACAAGATTTGTCTTGTAACTGAGGTCAAGCCTGTAGTCGTGTGAATCACATGGTCTGAGGTGAAGATTAAGAGGCTTAAAAGGATGAATGACCCAAGGCAGATCCTTGTCACCTCTTTTTAGGCCCATTTATAATCATAATTGTGATAGATATAACTGATTTATTTTATGATTTATTATCACCTGAGACTTCAACACAATGCTGAAAAAAGCAATTAGAGAAAAGTTGAATGTGTGAATTTACCCAGGTCATATGTGCTAGAGTCACAATTCAAACCTAGATTTGGAGTGCCTTGTAGTAGTATGTTTACTGTGTGGTTGTATTATTGTTGTTTTGTTGTTTTAGTATCAACAGTGGCTTTAGTTAACAGCTAGGGTCCCACAGTCAGGATACCTGAGTTCAGATCCTAACTCTGCGTTTACTAGTTGTGTGTTCTTGGGTAAGATTCTTAACCTTTCTCTGTCTCAATTTCCTCGTCTGTAAAATAGAAGGAATGTTAAGTCCATACATCATAAGACTGAAGTTTCCAGGATGGAATAGAGGTTAGGTAAGGTCCTACTGCTCTCCCAGCCCCAATTTATTCTTGAGAGTAGCTTCCTTTGTCCTGTCTCCTCTCAGCTGATTGTGACAAAATGCATAGGAAACTGTTGTTGAAGTGTGCCTTTGTAATATAAGTTCATTGTGTGTGGGCTCAGAGTTAACCCTTATAGGTTTTTCATTTTGATTAACTTTTCCTCACAGAAGCTAATACATTACATTTTATTACTCATTTAAAACATTTATTAACATTAATCATATAGAAAAGTGCTGAAAATAGTGTTCACCTATGCACCCAGATCTAAAATACGTTAACATAGGAAAGATGTCCTGCGGTCTTGGATTGAAAGAATTAATATTGTTAAAATGGCCATACTACCCAAAGCAGTCTACAAGTGTAATGTGATCCTTATCAAATTACCCATGGCATTTTTCACCAAAATAGAAAAATAATCCTAAACTTTATATGGAACCATAAAAGACCCAGAATTGCCAAAACAATCCTAAGGAAAAAGAATAAAGGAGAAGGCATAACCCTCCCAGACTTCAGGCAATACTACAAAGC